ATGAAAACAAGTATAAATATAAAAATTATATATAATTGAATTTAAAAAAAATAATAATAAATTTTAAAATTGCTCTAAAATACATTATCTTAAAACTTTTCACTTATATATATAATAATTATTTTTCTTTTTTATAAATCTTTACTAATGGCTTAAATGTTAGATTTATTTAAGAAAGAATTCGATAATTTTCATAATAATAATAACAATTGAATTGTGTTTTGGCATACATCGCATCAGAAAATTGAATATACTAAGAGGGATTTTCTTATACACTTCGAGTGAATTACATAATAAAAATTTTCGAACAAATCAAATGTTGAGACGAGAAGGAGGACCGGACGTAGATGTGTTGCATCTTAAGAGATTCTAGTAGTGGTTGTTTGATAATTAAAGGCAGACTCTCGTACCAGTTAATGAGTAGGAGGCGGAAGATCACGTACGGGCCTCAGTAGAATACCTAACTATTTAACGATCGCTTCGAGCACTTTGCAGTTTCTCAAGTACATCGAATAAACAGCAAATTCTGAGAAAATAATCGGGTTTTCATTACTTTTCACTTTTAAAATAAACATTCTGACGTATATATTTATTAAGTTTTAAAATGTTCATCAGAAATTACATGTCAGTAAAAAGTTAGTTAATAGCATCATTAATCTTATAGTTTACTTTATTTTAAAATAATATCTGTCAGTTTAAACGGAAAATAAAATAGTTAGCATAAAATTAGTTTTATAATCGTTTAAACTGCAATTTACAATTTTATCGTTGATGCCGTGAAACGTTTTTGAATAAATATAAAATAATTTTTCATTAAAAAAATAACAAATTTTTACTAAATTTCATTTATAATGATATTTAAATTTGATCTCATAATAAAATGAAATCAAATTTAATTATATTCAGGGTTAATTTTGAGCTAAAATTTAGATATATTCTATTTACAAGAAGTCGTACAATAATAAAACATATATTAAGTATTTTGATATATTTCGTGTATAAAATTAATAACAAAAACATTTATTAAATCATATTTTTAATAAAAAAAATTCCACATAAATCTCCACAGAAAAATTTTATTTTTCAATTTTAAAATAGACTCTTAGTTATAGAAATTCAAAACCAAATCGATTCTATATCACATATATATTTTTTAATCTATAGAAAAATCAGCATAAGATCGAATGAAATATTTTTTCTGATATATTTACTAGGAAAAGATTATATTTTTCTTTTTCTAGGCTTGACCGAAACAAGATTCTAATCGCAACAGAAGTCTCCAAGGAAGTCTGAACCTGATAGAATCGACCCCTGTACATCCATCTTTCCTGCATTGTTTATCTGTCCAATCATACCAATGGACAGCAAAATGAATTGTACGTATTTACTTAATGCAAACGACCGATACAAACAAGTAATTTAAACAACGGCTATTATAAGTTTAATTTAATTAAGAATTTAAGAAAAATTGAATAATAAATTTTTGCATTGGAAAATTGTTTCTAAAGTATGATTGATTCTATTCTTATCTTTTAAATCTTTTTATATTTCTGATAACAAACAAATTAATATAAACAGAAGAAATTAATTAGAAATTTGTATTTTTATATTAAAATAATTAAAATTAAAAGTGAAGAAAAGAATTTAAAGTCAGAACGAATGTTTAAAATAAAAGAGTTACTTGATTAGATGGAAACGTGACGAGGATTGTTGGTACGGATTAGAGACGTGATTCGATTCTTGGTACTTTTTCCAACGCTTTCTATCGATAATTGAAAGTCGTAGCAACTCTATAAAGTGAGAAATTCAATTAGGGTTTCATTCTAAATATTTAATTTTTAGTTAAAAACATAAAAGATTATAAATATAACTAAGTTCTAAAACAATAATATGAAGAGAAGTGTTAATTACTATTTAATTTAGTAACAGTAAAAATTATTTATTAAAAAATATCATTTCTAAATTTCTACATTAAACTAAATTTATAATCTTTATAAATATTGATTTAAAAATATATATATATANATATATATATATATATAACATTAATTAAAGGTCATCACAATGTTTTTATAAACGTTTTAATATTTAGAAATTTAATTTTAAATATGTTTATATGTTTGATTTTTAGATAAGTCTAAAATTTGTTTATGATATTTTAGTTGCTCTATACATTATTCTGTATTTACTGTTAGAATTCTAGCTGAATAGATTAGATTGTAATATATATATATATATAGATTATACTTGTAAAATATTAAAATATTAATATTTTATAAACATAAGAATATATAAATTTAAGAATTTAAACGTATGTGAAGAACTTTTAGTAGAAATGTTAATATTCATTTTAAACTCGATAATTAATATCATTAGAGAGACTTTATAAAAGTTTCAGTGCTTTATAGAATGTCTTCTCTTTAATTAATACAAATATTAATATATTTTCCAGGTACAAACAAGTCTCATCAATTAAAAGTAGTGTATTCGCTTTAAAGGGCATGTGAAATAATTTATAAAATTAAACTGAGTTAGTCGAAGTTTTGTCGGAGTTTCAGGATAATATATAATATTTAAATTATTAAATATCCAATATTTATCCATTATTACCGGGATGTGGATATTATACATCACGAACGTCGACCCAGTTTTGCCAAACTATTCTAGAAGAGCGAAAATACGCTTTTGCCGAACGATTTCCTCTCAAAACTTCGTTTAACGACGTTAAACAGTTTGATCACAGGTGGCATTTCCTCACTCGCTTTCCCATATTTCTATCCTCTCTCTCTATTACATCATCCGCAAAGATGGTTGTAATGGCCTCTTCTACATTCAAATTGTCCTATCTAGTTCGTTTAAAGAGCGCCAGATGGCACTTTCCTGATCCAATATCTGAAGTTGTTGCCAACTTTTCGGAAACTTTCGTAACGATTTTATATCGAAAAAAATATTATAATATCAAATCTATAAGATATTAAAAAATATAAAAATATTTAAATTTTCTAAACATACTTTAATAATAATAATTAATTACATACGATAAAGATTTTTTTTAAATCGATTATTTTTGATTTATTTATTTTTTTTAATATTCTAAAATTTTGAGATATTTTCTGTTTTTAATATGATTAAGTTCGTAAAATTCTTATTAATCAAAATAAAATTCTTTAAAATTCATTCGAATGTCATTTTTTATATTAAAATAGATTCGAGAAAATAGTACTGCCATATACAAAACTGGGACGTCGAACTGTGTCAGTAATTTATTACTTTATCCATTTCTGCTTTTGACAAGCTAGGACTATCTTTCATTTGCAGAATACTTTTAAAAATTTTTCCAGGAAACATTTCACTTTTAAATAGTCTAAACTGTCGATAAAACAAAAATACAATGTCAGACTCGACATCTTTCCTTTAATTAAAAATTCATGCTAACGTCTGACGATAATGTATCGAAAATATTGGAAAGCAATATTGATAATACTTTTGAGAATGGCAGATGAAAGAAAGAATTTGGAAGAATGGCCAAACTAATTCTAAAGATTGATAATGCTTTTAAAGTCTAATGAAGTAGATCGAGCGAAAGGAATTTTTTCCAGTTACTAAGAAACGTTGTAGCTTACGAGGTATACTCTTTTCGCTAAGTGTAAAAGACTCTACCTTTATAATTTACAAGAAAATATATGTTTAAACTTTCTACAAACTTTCTTAGTTAATCCTAATTTATAAGAAAATGTTCCTTGTTACTATCGTTGTTCGTTGCATTTTACTCATTAATTAAGATAACATCGAGCTTTTGTAAGTTAATTATTCTAACAATATCATTTTGCTTTCAGAGTTGTTTTCAGCTGAAAGAATTAAGAACTTTAAATCGATTTCTTAAATATTTTGCTCTTTTTATCCTAACTTATTATCATACAAAAAAAAACTAAAATATTATATTATAAATTTTCTCAGTATTTTAAAAAACAATGTTATTAAATAATATTACTTTCGAAAAGTACAACAAAACTTCTTTCGTAAGTCTACATTGAAATGTTAGCAACAGTAGCTCATTAATTATTGAAGATTTAAGTATTAAATTATTTATTTTATATGTAGAAACAGTTATTTATATTCCCTGCCATGTTTTATTGAACAGCGATCATTATAGATCAGCTTCAACTTTAATCTAAAGAAAACTAAAGCAACTACTCTGGGAGAAAAGTAGCGTACAAACTGTAATCACGTGTGGTATGAATATTTACAAGAATCAAGCAAGCTGCTTCGGTAAATCACAATATATAATATAAATTATCTATATTTAAACATAAAATTAATGAGTTATTATTATTTTTGTTAAAAACTAGCGAGCTGTATTATTGCTAGCAACAAAAACGCGTTATAAAATTTTATTTATTTCCTTTAAGAGTTTTAAATCAAAAAATTCTTTTCTATCGAATACAAAAAGAGCAATTTAAGCTTTTCATTAACGCTTATTTATTATTAATTCATATAAAATTTTCATGCTCGGCAAAAATTTACTACCAACGTTTTTAGATCTGTTAGCAGAAGGTTCTTCACCTTTTCACATAATAAAGTTTCAAATATTCTCTTTATAAAGAAAACACTTTTGGGGAAAAAAAACTCGAACGGTTACAATATAACTTAAAAACCTTCTTATAAATATCCACCGTCCCATTAATCTTCAAAGGTAATTTTTTCAGGTGAAGCAACTGTGTAGTTTTTATTTAGGGATTTTTTTCCCTTTCTGTGAAAGTCTGCTGCATCAAAGTATCCATTGGAGTTAAGTGTAGTTTTGACATCAGATTCTAAGCATCTCTTTTGATTATTTTCTTCCGCTCGGATAGACAACTTGATCGATGGATTGTAGATTTTATCCAAATGCTAAAGCAACAAAGACTGTATCGTATTCTTCATAGACTCCATGTTAAAATTTAAAAAGTTTCCATTCTGTTTCATAATGTGGAGGATTTACTTAAAATAAACAAGCAAACATAATTAAATGCATAATCAGTCAAAGTAGTCAACTGAAACAATCAATTAAACTATAAGCTTTTAAATTATTTTAATATAAAATTAAATTAATAATTATTAAACACTTATTTTAAATTTTTGCCACTGTACAGATATGAATTACATATCTCATTAAGTAATTTCTCTAATTTTCAAATTGTTTTATGTTCTTGGATACAAAAGAAGATAACAATAATCATTCGAGAGGGGAAAAAAATAGATCTAAAAATAAATTTAATATCTTCCATTAACTAAATGGGAAATTTTTATTTGAGAAAAGCGATTTTCTACAAAAATCATTTTTCTGTTGAAATTAGTTTCCTGCAAAAATTATTATGAGAGAATAGAGATAAAATGATAATTATTTTAAATATAATTTATTTATCTCTTAAATTTGCTATTAATGAACGTCATTAAAAATATATTACGATAATAATGAGATTTATTCGTGATTACTTCTTAATTAAATGCGTAATCGTCATTAACTGAATATAATTAATTATGGTTAATTATGAAATTTTTTCATTTATGTATATATATGTATATTTTAAATCAAACTTTTATCTTTATATTTTTCACTTCATTGAGTAAAATTTTAAATTTAAATTTACGTCAACATTCAATTGATAAATCTAAATTTAAAGTTTAATTTTATCAACTAATATCGATTTAATTGATATATAGCAGTTCAATATCTGTCAAAAATTTTGAAAACTGATAGATAAATGATTTGAAATTTTACTCTAGGAAATTGAAAAATGAGAAGTTTGTTGAAAAATATGTGAAAGATGTCCCTATAAAAGTCACAAACTGCATCAATTTAATTTTTATTTCCCTACCCCCGAAGAACATAAATAGATTTTAATCTAAATTGTATTAAAATAAATTTTTAAAAATCGATAAAAATTTTCACTAGTGATGATTTTTGATGATAAAAACATACGTAATTGTATATAAATTCTCGAGATCGAATAAAGTCATTAATTGAATTATTGAAAAAGTCCACAAAATATAAGTTTTCGAATAAAATAAATTAAAGAAAAACTTCGGTTATTTTTCTACAGCATTAATGCTACTCTAAATTACAGAAAACTGGCTTAAAACTAGATCAAATTATACATTTTTTTTTCTTTTTTTAAGATGAGAACTTTTAGAGTAAAACTATTTAGAGAGTAGAATCATTTTTGTGAGACAACGTCACTTACATTCTGTAATAGAATGTAATTTCTTTAACAACACGATAAGATGTAAGGCAGCGAGACAAAGAAGAGAACCGTTAACAAAATTATCTTCAGGAATAATGATACTCAACAATAACAAAATGAAGAAAAAGAAGAAGAAAACTTTACGCCCTAGAGAACGTATTTTAGTAAGTTCGGTTGGCCATTTTCGTTTTGTTAAATTAATTTCGTCTTCCACGTATCTAGAGTATCGATGATGTATGAGTTAGAAGTTATTAATTATGTCGAGAACACTAGTTTATTCTCTTGAATAGTATTATCTAAATTCTACTATACATAAAGCCATCTGTTATGTCAAAGTGATTTATTATTTTCAAAAATATTGGAAGAGCTCGGATTCATTTAGAATCAACTCTTTGTATTACAATTTACAAGGCTATATTTGCTATGTTTAAAATTACATATTCTACTAAGAAGATTCAATTTTGATAAGTTTGATGACAGCTGACAGTATTTTCTGAAAATACAAAAATAACATAAAAAAAAGAGAGAAAGA